TAATGGGCTCACTGTGTCATAAGATACCCATCTCTCTGTCCTTTAAATGTTCTCTTTCCTTGTCCTCCATAGTATCTTTGTCTGTGGGACCCCTTCAGATTTCTTGGGTATCTGTCTCAGCCTTCTTTTTAAATTTTCTTTTTTTCATATATTTGTGTCACATGAGTCTCCATATGTAGCACTCTTCTCCTTCAACATGCCTTGCTTGTTATACACTTAAAGCCACCTAGCACCTGTACATCAGGAACTACCTAAGATGTTTTTTCTAGCCTCAAGCTCTCTTCTAGGTGATATTCACCACTTGGTGGAGAACTCCCCTGGGTTCTTCTTGAGTGTCTTAAATATTATTTTCTCTTCCAACACTATTCCTTCGTGTTTAATATCATCAGCTTTTTTTTTACAACTACCAAAATTAGAAACTGAAATTATGTGTACTCCAACCAAGTCTAGTAAACAGATTACTTGATATTATCTCCTAAATCAGTTTGTCACAAATGAGATTTAAATTATGTCCTAGCTCTGCCTCTAATTAGTTCTGACCTCTGAAAAATTGCTCCTTCTGGGCCTCAGTTTATCTGATCTCTGAAAATGTTTAGTGTAGGTCAGAGGTCGGCAACTAGGACCTAGGGTTCAAATACAGTCTTCTGCCCATTTTTGTAATAAATTTATGTTGATGGCTGCTTTGTGCTGCAGTGGCAGAGTTGAGTAGTGACAGAGGCTATATGGCCCACAAAGCCTAAAGTAATACTTTAGGGCTCTTTATGTTAAAGGTTTGCTGACCTCTAGAGACCAGAGGCTCTTGCCTATAAGAGCCAGCCTGGCGAGAACCTGGCTTTAGGATTATAAAAAATAAGAAGAAAAAGATTAGAAAAACTGATTACAGTAATTCAGTATTTGGCAAGAGAAATTAAATAGAACAAATTATAACATTAGAATCTATGTTTCCTGATCTAATAGCCTTAGTAATTCAAGAACAGAAATAAAAATCTCTGTTGCCACTTTATGGTGACAGGATAATTTATTTGGTTAAATTACTTTTAAATGATAGTGAATAAATCAATGATTTCACTTACTAACTTGTAATTAGCATCTTAAGTCACAAAAACTCATTTTGAAAGTGAAGAACACAGTTAGTTAAACTCTGATCGTAAATTAGAAGTATAATTAAGAGTCTTTTTTATATTATCACTGTTCATCAAAGCAGATTATTTCCATTCTGATAAAAGATTTTCCATGTGAATGCACTGGTATATATTGAAGGGGCATTATAAGTATGTAAAAATGCTTAGGTAAAAATATAAATCCAGCACCCATTTGATACAAACTCTCAGCAAAGTGGGAATAGAGGGAACATACCCCAACATAATGAAGACCATATATGTAGGGCCAGCCAATAGCATACTCAATAGGCAAAAACTGCAAGTGTTTCTTAAGATTGGGAACAATACAGGGATGTCCACTTTCACCACTCTTACTCAATATAATACTGGGAGTCCTAGCCACAGCAATCAGGCAAGAAGAAATAAAAGGTATCCAAATTAGAAAGGAAGAAGTAAAACTGTCATTATTTGCAGGTGACATGATGTTATATAGAGAGAACCCTAAAGATTCCACCAAAGTACTGCCTTAATTGACAAATTAATTCAGTAAAGTAGCAAGATACAAAATAAATATTCAGAAATCAGTTGCATTTTTATACACGAATATTGAACTATCAGGGAAACTAAGAAAACAATCCCATTTCCAATTGCATCAAAAATAAAATGAAATACCTAGAAATAAATTTAACCAAGGATGTAAAAGACCTGTACTCAGAAAGTTATAAGCCACTGAAGAAAGAAAAGAAGATACAAATAAGTGGAAGCATGTACCATGTTCATAGATAGGAATTAACATCATTAAAATGTCCAAACTATCCAAAGCAATCTATAGGTTCAGTGCAATTCCTATCAAGATACCAATGAACTAGAACAAATATTTTAGAACTTTGTATGGAACCACAAAAGCCCCAGAATAGCCCTGGCTGGTTTGGCTCAGTGGATAGAGCATCCACCGGTGGACTGAAGGGTTCCAGGTTCAATTATGGTCAAGGGCACATGCCCTGGACTGGGCTCAATCCACAGTAGAGGGTGTGCAGGAGGCAGCCAATCAATGATTCTCATCATTGATGTTTTTATCTCTCTCTACCTCTTCCTCTCTGAAATCAATAAAAATATATTTAGCAAATAATAATAATAAAATAAAAAAGAGACCCAGAATAGCCACAGCAATCTTGAGAAAGGACAACAAAGTTGGAGGAATCATGCTATCTGATATCAAACTATAATACAAGGCTATAGTAATCAAAACAGTATGGTGCTGGCATAAAAACAGACATATAGATTAATGGAACAGAATAGAGAGCCCAGAAATAAACCAATGCCTTTATGGTCAGTTAATATTTGGCAAAGTAGATAAGAACATACTATTGAAGACTATCTTTAATAGTCTAGTCCAGTGGTCGGCAAACTG